CCGTGATGGACTGCACCTCTCAGTGAAAGGTTAAAGTCTTTTCTCCAACAGGTTGGCTGATCTCCTACATCAGGCTTTAAACTAGCTCAGACGGGGGACGGGGAGGAAGAAAAAGGGGAACATCAGGAACCTGCAATCCAAGGGACAGCCAGCAGTACAGCAATAGGCAGGTAAGCAATAGGGGGCCCATTGGGCATTAGAACTGGGGGGCAACAAAGGCGCCAGTCACAGGGCTCAAGAGCCTATACACCAATGCTAGGAGCATGGGGAACAAGCAGGATGAATTAGCACTCCTGCTTGCAGAAAACACTTACGACTTAGTGGGGCTAACTGAAACCTGGTGGGACTCTACCCACGACTGGGCGGTACACATTGAGGGCTATAAGCTGTACAGAAAGGACAGAGTGGGGAGGAGAGGGGGAGGGGTTGCGCTCTATGTCAAGGAGTGTTATACATCGACCCTTATCAAAATGGATTTGGAGGAGGAGAAAGTAGAAGGATTGTGGGTTAGGATACATGGAGGACAAGGCAAAAGAGATCTGGTGGTAGGGGTCTGTTACAGACTCCCACACCAAGGGGAAGAACTAGATTAGGAACTCCTGAGGCAGCTCTCAGAGACCATAAAGGCTAGGGAGGCGGTAGTCATGGGGGACCTAAACTACCCTGACATCAGCTGGGAGATAGAGACAGCAAATTCCCACCGTTCACACAGGTTCCTATCTTGTGCACAGGACCTCCACCTGACGCAGGAGGTACGTGGTCCCACTAGGGGGAATGCCTTACTGGACTTGGTATTGGCAACGGGGGATGATGTGGTAGGGGACCTACAGATCATCAGTCACCTGGGGGACAGTGACCACCAAATAATAGAATTCGTCTTAAGGTGTAGAGTAGGTAAGGTAACTAGTAGGGTGGAAGTGCTAGACTTTAGGAAGGCTGACTTCGGCAAACTCAGGAGTTTAGTCTATGATGCACTGCAGAGTAAGAGATTTAGCGAGATGGGAGCCCAGGAAGGGTGGCTGTGCCTTAAGAAAACTATCCTTCGGGCACAGGGGGAGATGATCCCAATATGGAGGAAAGCAGGGAAAGGGGCCAAGAGGCTTCCCTGACTGACCAGACAAATCCAGAGCAGCCTAAGGGCAAAAAGGGGGGCACATAAGCAGTGGAAACAGGGAGGGATTACTAAAGAGGAGTGTGCCTCCTCAGTTTGCAGTTGTAGGGAGGCAGTTAGACAGGCCAAAGCTGCCATGGAGCTGAGGATGGCATCCCAAGTTAAGGATAACAAAAAATTGTTTTTCAGATATATAGGGAGTAAAAGGAAGGCCCAGGGCGGAATAGGACCGCTACTGAATGGGCAAAAGCAATTGGTGACAGACAGGGGGGACAAGGCTGAACTCCTCAATGAGTTCTTTGCCTCAGTGTTCCTAAACGAGGGGCAAGACAAGTCTCACAATGTGATTGTAGAGAGACAACAGCAGGGCGCCAGACTACCAAGTGTTGACCCTGAGATACTGCAGAGTCACTTGGAAGAACTCAATGGATTTAAGTCGGCAGGCCCGGATGAGCTCCATCCAAGGGTACTGAAGGCACTGGCTGACGTCATTGC